GTTATTATGAAAATGTCTTTAGTAAACAATGAAGTTAAAATAAAACTACTCGGAGAACTTGAAAATATTTGTTGGGAACGTGCCCTCGCATCCTTTCTACCAAAAGCGCCTGAGATTTTAGAAAACCCTTTAATGTAGTACGCCGAGGTGCGAGTTTAATTTTACTGACATTCCCTCCGTCCTTTAGCATTCAAGTTACTTGCTTAATAATGGAGGAATCTGTGTTAAAAGGAATTTGGTGTCTCCTAAGACGATCGGTGTAGTTCAGAACGTACGAAGTTATCCCTAAGACAATTGTAACAGAGGCAATACAAATGATACTCTGATACGCCTTAGCCACCTCTGAAAAGATTCGTAAAAACATGATTTATTGTGGGAACGAGAAAAGGGCGCAAATCGTCCAGACATGGCTTGAAGCTCCTACGGTGAGAGTACATTTTCAGAAAAAGCGAGAGTTGATTCTCGCAGACAAAGAATGCAAATTGGAATGTAAATTAACCAAAATCCAACATAATACGTATGACCCGCTTCTCACAATGAAAAACTAGAATTGCTACACAGCAAATACTTTCTCGAATTATCGGAAATTGTTACGTAATAGAGTAATTTTGTAATTTCTGCCATACTACGTAAAAGCTCAGTTATAAATTTAAACTAGAGGTTGTACAACAGCACTACTTAATAGCATTATTTCTAAATTTGAAATATTAAATAATTCAGAGAGTTCATGGAAAACGAGATGCGCGTCATTCTTTTAAGTGTTCCTTCTTCTGTCCGTGAAAAAATTAACGAACAAATTTGGAGCGGTTTTTGAAAAAAAAGATTTTTTTTAAAACACTCATATTTTGCGCAAAATTACATGAAAACTACTCGTGTTTTAGAAAAATTGAACATGAACGTATTTGATTGAAACTGAAACATATTTTATTAAGGGAAAAATCTGTTTTCATTATTATAGTTGTAGGAACACGCCCCCTCACACAAGTATTGATCGGGGATATCAACGAACATGAGATCTGCACCATTTTCTTAAGCGTGCTTTACGCGATTCGGGGACAAAGTTTAATCAAATAATTTGGTGCCGTTTTCAAGAAAGATAGTTTCCCATGGTTTGTCCGATCAACACAAAGCGAATATCCGTACAAACAGACCACGCAAGATCTTTCCTTCCTCTTCCTTGTTCTATCCTCACCCCCTTACTTGCACACACTTACACTAACATACTACACTATCACACATGCTGGGAGACCAGTCAGGAACGAAGAGCTGGTTCTGTGCACCGCGGGAGAAACTTGTTCGGGGAAACCTCGCTAGCCGACTGTAGGTCGGCGCCGGATGACGCCACCTCGCGACGACTAAGACACTTCGGGACTAATGATCTTAGCAGTTGACGCAGCCGGAAGCATTAATCAACCAATCAATCGATCGATTGATTCTTCTCTTCAAGATAAAAAAGTAATTGAAAATTTTATTAAGTATCAGACTACTCTACCGCGACTTAAAATTAAAATAACGTTTTGCTCGAGTTCTAATTTCTGTTTCAATTTCTTTCTAATTTTCCCCTAGCAGTCCCATAAAGAGGGGCGTCGAAGACTATTGAGCGCGTGGGCGGGTGATTGCGTCGCGTGCGTGCGCCCTAAGACGCAGGCGGAGCAGGCTTCGTGACGAAGCCTTTTCCCAGACTCGGAAACCACGCGCACGCGCTAGAAAGTTTCTGCTTCAGCTCCCACCCCCACCTCCCCTCAGTACTCCACGTGTAACAGAAACGTCAATCAATTGCACCGGGGCAGGCTGGGATAACTAAGGTAGCGTCTACAGAAATAACATTACTCCTTCACTTTTTACTTTCTTGTAGTAGCGAAATGCTGCAAAAAATTCATCACGAGAATTTGACGGAAATGCTGTTTCAAAAACACCTCTCTCACTCAGTGCGTCCGTCCGCCGGCGACTGGTACCTAAACTCCACTGAAGTAATCGACGTTTTCTGTATCAATCCATTTTTCTACATCAAGAACACACAATATGAGTTTTTCAGTCGAAAAGATATTAATTAAGGATAAAAGAATATTAATTAAGTTGAATTGTCTGATGTGGCAGGACGCAGTTGGTAGGCCTTGGTTCCGTCCGAAGGTGTCGTGTCAGTATAGACAGATAGGTATCGATTTACCCGAAATCGCTGAAGAACTGTACAATTGTACGGTCATGGTGAGGGAGTATTCATGACTTGCGTCGATTCATATCTTCTCCTGTGGCCGAGATGGGCTGCTATGCGACGAATGTTCCATCCAGATGTTTAGCTGCTGGAACTGCAATACAGTCGAATAGCAACGCAGTCTTCTACGTTTTAATTGCGGTCTCGGGGTCGCAAAAAGTAATGCACCCGCTTGTTTTACCGTTAATACGTTATTCTGCAGAAGAAACAAAAATATTAATTAAATTGAATTGTCTGGCTGTTATTTGAAAATCACTAACATTTTTATAAGCCTTTGTGGATATTTACAAGATACGTAATACCCATGCGATAGATTTTTTTTACAGTTTTTTCTACTGTTGGATAATTTCAGGAACATTTAAACCGATTTCCATAGTACTTTCGTGCTAGAGTATTTTCTCAGGCATAATTTAGGCTACTTCTTCAGATCATTATATTATATTGTATATAAAAAAAGTTTTGTATAGAAATCTTGTTTTATTCTGACCTTAATGATTTTTTTACATTTGAGCTTCGAAACTAGAAAAATGTGTTTGAATACATGTGATTTAGAAAAACTCCCTTATCATTCTATCCCACGCCTAAAAGAATTGTCACTTTTCGTGTCACTTAAACGCACTCTTTTTCAGTTTTACGCGAAAACCGTGAGATGTTAAAATTGTAAGGTAATCGACCAAAGTGAATCTAAATTTTTTCATAATCTATAAACCTTCCTACTAAACGCATTTTGCTTTTAAATCTTCCTACTGAACATGTCCCGCATTCCGACAGCGCAGTTAGGGTTTGAGTAATTTAATACACTTCAATACTTGTACAAAAACTGAAAATTATTTCTGACCGGAAGAAGAGAGGCGGGGTGGGACGGCAGGAGCAAGGAGGGCGAGAAAGGCGTCGACTGCTGACCTTGCTCCGCTGGTTGGTTAGCGGGTGTTTTCCAACTAGGTATCTCCCATCTTCCAGCCGGGACAAGCTGGGAGCCGGGACTCCTGCCGTCATGCGAGGTAGTGTGAGTAAGGCTGGGAGAGGACGAGGAACGGGAAGGAAAGGTCACGCACGGTTCACGGCCCGTTTGTTAGGATACGGCTATTGAATTGAACTGATGCTTTATTTTACCTGGCGAGACTCAGGCCATGGGGTCTGCTCTTCCGTCTGACCGCGCAAATGTCGCTACGCTCCTTTCACAAAGAAGCGAAGAAAGGAGGTATTTCTTACGCGACGAACAGGCGATTTGAATTTAGCTCAGAGGTTTCATTTAGGCTTGAGGATCTTTTACATGCAGTAAATCTACTGACATGCGACACCAGGCTTTACTTCCCCGCCGAAGGAAGGCGTACGAAGGAATTTTTCCCCTTAAAAATCCACGGTTTTGATCGGGTTTGAACCTGTGAACTTGGATATAACAGCCCGCTATGCTACGGCATTCGCCTGGCGTTTATCGGTGAAATCAAGGAAAACTACCGATCAGAGCAGAAAGACGCCAGGTTTCTCCAGACAGCGTCAGAACTCGGGCTAGCTATCTGGCTAGCGTCGAAAATCCTGCCACCGTCGGGAGTGGAACCCCAGGACCTTCCAGTCAGAGACACTGTAGTGACATCAGTTTGCGCCCTGGGACACCTCTCCCGTTCGGGAAGATGGGTAGAGGGGGCAAAGGCAGAGCGGACTTTCATGTACACTAGAAATAGAGTGAACTTCTTTTTCTGTCTAACAGAAATGAGTTTCTCCTGAAATCCCTTTGGCTGTATTAATGCCGTGATGGGGGGGGGGGGGATCGTAGAGGGCGTTTCGACACTACTACACCACGATTCTACAGCAGGATGCAGTTGAGTTTCTTACCACTCTTACCACGTTTCGCGCGTGCTGAATGTCTCACCTCTTCAGGTAAAGCAATAGAAAACCACCAAGACCTAGTTTACATACGATAACCTCACAGGCAAGATCAGGAAAAGGTATATAATGCAAATATCCTGTTACTCTTGTCTGGAACTTGGTTATGCGCTTTTCAATTCCAGAACCTGAAAAGATGGGACATTCAGCACACACAAAAGGCAATAATAACAGAAAACTACTTCACAACATTCTAGTTGTGATTGACAGTACTCTGTACGGCACCACCTCCATCATTATGTTATTATCTAATATTATCTGTTATTATATAATATTATGGGAGGTAGCTCAGGGCGTCAACTGATGTCTCTGCAGTGCTACTGACAGGAAGGCCTTAGGTTCAAGTTCCGACAGTGGTAAGATTTTCGCCACTAGCCAAGATAGCTAGGTCGAATTCGGTCGCTGAGAGGAGGAGAATTCTACCGGTCAGCTTCTGTGATCGGTAGTTTCTAGTGGTTTCTCCGATCAACACCAAGCGAATTCCGGAGCATTACCCTAACAAATGGGCCATGAAACGCGCGCGATCTTTCCTTCCCAATCCTTGTCTTATCCTACTCCTTACACACACACACTAACAAGCACTACACAAGCACACATGCTGGTAGACCGGTCGGGAGCTTAGAGTGTCTCGGCAACGGTGGTGCCCAGCTGGTGTGAGATACATGACAGGGAGCAATCCCGTTCGCGGACGATAGGTCGGAGCCGGATCTCCGCTTCAGCACCGTCATCAGCTTAGCAGTCGACGCGCCCGGAACCAGCAATAATACAATTAATAGATATTGTGAAAAATTACTTTCTGTTGTAAAAAAAAATAAATAAAAATGACCTATTCATCGATGAGGTTGACCTCCGCGGCGGGCGCGTCGCCTAGTCGCGGAGTGCAGCGGCGTCCGCGCGCACTCACCTTCCGCCGGTGGTTGTTGTAGCGGCGCTGCTGCCACGGCCGGATGAGCAGCTGCTCGCGCCTCGTCAGCATGCTGCGCCTCGTCTTGTCTCGTCTCGTCTCGTCTGGCGGCGAGGGCCTCGGAGCAAACGGGTCGCCGTCGCTAGGCGACCGCCCGCCCGGCCGCCCGGCGCCGCCATCGCTGCGAATCGACCGGAGGGGGCGCGGAAGGCGGCGAGGAGCGCGGGGCCGTCGACGTGCGTTGGGAGGACGAAATGGTGTGGGTGAAGTAATGGCTCATTCAAATCATGACGTATAACACTTTTCTTTTTCTTTGTTGCTATTTTGTTTGCAAGAAAAATCGGTTTTGTTGTTATTTCAGTCACGATATATCGACTCTTTTGTTGAGTTACCATTACATTTTTCTTATTTAGTATTTACTGTTTGCATTATATGGTCGTATTGTTGTTCATTGTTTGTCTTTGGATACTTGGTGCATTTTAAATTGCTGTCAGGTGTGATTCTTTTTATCTTCTTCTTTTTCCTTCTCTTGTATACTACCATTGGTTCTTTTCTCGCTCGCTTTCCTCTTTTTCGTTCTCAATCCTTGAACTTCGCTTTTCATGTTCAGACGGAAGCCCCCATTTTCCGTAAGTTATATTGACCGAAATGGGGTTACTTTACCACTTAAAGCGTATGCCCGGATGGGCTCTTGACTTGAATACCAGACGTAAATGTTGTATATGTCTGCCTTCACCAATATAGTTTTCCAAATTGAATTTAAATTCATTTAATTAATTGGTTGAAGAGAAAACCAAAATGACTTGCGCCTTGCCACAACTACATATATTTTTATAATTTATTATTAAGGAAGATAAATGGTAGATGTGAGGAAGATATAGAGCTAATGGTAGAGAAGAACGAGGGGTAAACAAATCACACCGGAGGAAAACATCCCTCGAACCCTCTTTATTCACCATCAATTTTAGGAGTAACCGAAATTTGAAGGAATTCCGGAAGAAATAAAGGTCTGATGCGGTAAAGAACCATAAAAATCAAAGGAACAATTTTCTGTTATTTTAATTTGTATTATCAAATTATGAAGTTTCCATTAATTGACAACTTAAATGTTAAAAAGTCTAAAACTTAATTCTTGCAGTAATAAAAACTGGAAATGACCTACGGCGAAGAATTATAATCTGTACGCGTTTATCTCTACAGTTTCTATTTTCATTTACTCTATGAAGTTGAATTGTGAATAAAAGGACCAAAAGAGCAGGGTCACGCCAACCTTAGTGCATGCAGTGCACGGACGGCAGAAACTCAGGCACTTGTTTAATATTTGAATTATTTTACATTTTTTAAATTCTAAATGAAAAAGTGTACTATATCATAAATATAAAGACGCTCTTTTAGTGTTAAAGTGTGGGTCCAGAAAATAAATATACTGATACAAAAGTATAAACATTACAATTTTCGAAGATTTTTTGAATTTCGTATAGTAAATATCGGTTACTTTTATTACTAACGCAGCAACTGTGAAGACGCGTCTTGATTTTACAGTCAAAAGTCGATATAAGCTGTATAAAATCTCTGTAACAAAATTGAAAACATTAGAACACGGAGGAGACAAACCAAACTTAGCACGAGGGCGCAAATTACCTTGGCGCGACCCTGCCTCCAAGCGTGGTTGGCGACAGTTGAAAACTAAAAATTTTCCCTCCCAAGTAGTAGAAAAAGTATTTTCGGGGGAAAAATAATTACAGTCTACGATTAAATAAAGATTTAAGTGAGTAAATCTCTAGGCGTTTCATATCCATTGAAGAAAAGAATTAAGAAAATTGAGCGAAAACTCATTACCTCAATCACATCAATAGATTATCAGAAAAAGATGATCCTGAAGATTTTAGTATTTTTTTGGCTCAGTGGTCTTATTCTTTGAATAATTTAAGGAAATTCCTTTACAATATTCTTGTCAACGTTCAGATACAATACCTAGTTTGCGCATTGTAGTGAATTTTTGGTTGAAATAGTTCTCCTGATGGTTCACAATCAAAAATGTTGTAGTGCATTGAGGTCATGAAATTATATTCTGACTAGAGAACGGTTACGTAAGCAATTTCAACTTGATAATCTAAATTGACAGAGAGACGTAAGCAATAATACTACTGGATGAACGAAGGAATTAGTCGATATAATACGAAATCGGGGAATCAGTTGTGTAAGTAACTAATAACCAATTGGAGCATACTAGAATCCTGCAGCAGCAAAAATGCTGTTCAAAAAAGCACAAAAAATGCATTTCCAAAGAGAAAGATGCACACCACTTAAGAAAAACAAACAAAAAACTCTCGTACAACATTGCAATAAATGATATATTTTAACAAAAAGTGTTCATTAATACTGAAGTAACATTCACACCACATACAATACACAAAACATACCCCCCCCAAACAATCATTGAAACGGCATTATTTTTTTTTTTAAACTTATTAAACCATTCTAAAGTTTCAGATTACAGCTACGTCACTGATATATCTTAAATTAATTCATTAAATCATTTTTATTATGAAACATATCCAGAATAATTCTGGTACAGGATAATCGAACCCCGAATAATAGAGGTTCCCCTGCATTGTAATTGAGGGAGAGTAGCACATTTAACAATTATTTTACATTATAAAGTAATTTGAATTGCCATAAAATCTCAAGTAATGTAGATTTTGGAACAAATAAATATGTGTTTTTTTGAAACGGCGATTGAATTGAATGAAATTGCCTTGACCATACGACTTCTGTTATTGCCTTGACCTTTTTAGAGTTCCGTGCCTTGGCATCCTAGTTAATTTCTTAATATTTTAGTCCCTAAAAATAACCATAACAATTTTCGGCAACACCATTCTTATTTATTATTAATAATAATAATAATAATAATAATAATAATAATAATAATAATAATAATAATAATAATAATATTAATGTCAGAGTCATGTAACATATTGTAAACATTTTTAGAAATGTGTGAAATTTCTAAATTGAATGTACTTTAATTGATGCCAGTTGAAACAAGAAAAAATCGTAAAAATGGATTAAATGGAAATAATATAATTTTTTTCAATATCAACTATCGTTAGAAATAAAGAAATAATTAATGAATTTAAAAAGAAGCTTAAATTAAATTTTCTCACGTAAGTGCGGAATTTCCTCCAGTATTCTGCTGCCTACGAAAATAACTAAAAGTCTTTTCATTCCACCGTTGCGTCGGGAACCTTCTCCACATCATTTCCACACAAAACAGCCCGCTCACCACTCCCAGCCCTGAACACAGAATCGTGAACGGCCAGGCAAGTTGCTCCAGCGTCAACGGCTTGGGATCTTTTCTGACTTTTCCCATTTGCATTGTGACTCCGTTTGCCATCATACGATGGCGTTGCATTTGCGCCCAGTGTTCATAGAGTCCGGCTTCCAAAACATGCATTACAAACCTGTTGAAAAACTCGTAGAACGTTGCATTTTTTCGAACCAAATAAGCCTGATGACCTGGAGAATTGAAACACTCCGGGACTCTGAACAGTATGATCTCTTCATTAATGGTCATGTTCCTCGATCGGGCGTATAAATCGAACTTCTGTTCCGTCATGAACAGACCGTCCTTACCGGTCTTCGTGATATCTCGTAACATCTGTATCTGAGTGTTGTAATATTTACCCTCGAGTCTTCGAGTAAACTGGATCGGAGCATCAATTTGGTCGGTGTCGTTGAACTTCCCTACAATGGAAAACGTGATGTATGCTTTCCGGAGATTCACTGCTGCTTCTGCCAGGGTTTGCGGGTCCGGAGGTCTTAAAGGGGCCGCTAAGAAACCTAATAATTGTCCAGAGTACGCATTGCTCATGATTAGGGCGAAAAGCAGCAAAGTTCCCATCAGGAGGCGCTGAGCAAATGTCAGAGCGGGGCGGCTGCACGCGCCGCTGAACGCAACCTGCAGAACATCCACCAGCGCGCGCTCTAGAAGAGGTGTTCCCCAAGGTCCAGCATTGGTCCTAAAGCGGAAACGATGCAGCGCGTCCCAGGCTAGAGCAACACTTACTAACGTGCCTACAGTGGCGAACCACACTTGACGCTGATACGGTAGCAGAAGATCGGCTCCGAAGGTGCGTGCAAATGCCCGACGAATCACGAGGCAATACGGTGCCTGGCGGAGTGGCACAGTGTAGTCTGCGAATTTGTATATTGTTGGAGAGTAATAAAACGTGTTGAAAGTAATATCAGCTGTTTTGTTCTTGATTTGTTGAACAACACCATCTAACCACATAATAGACATATCTTCTACCCGAATGTTCGGAATATTATGAAATGTCTCCAGAAGCTTCAAATCTGGACCGTCTAGTATTTTCATTCCTGCAGTATCAAACCAATAATACCTCATTATTCTGTCCATAAACGCCGCATGATATGTTCGTTCTTGATTTTCTTTCGTATTTTCTTTAGAACTTGTTCGAGGATTAACACGAGGATAAACCCGACAGCAGGTTTCTTCTGGTTGGATTTTTAACAGTTTAGTTTTGAAGACGTCAATAGTTGGGGCACAAATATAAACTCCTAGAGATATCAAAAAAATGAAGTATTCTTTCAAATACGCCATCAGATTCAGTAGCCACCAGACGTGAAAAAATACTATTAATCTTTTGATTTCCTGCTACAAACCAATAGTTAGTATCAAGTTCATCTATCATAACTTTCTTTGAGATATATTTTTGCATACTTTTGTTGAACATAAAAATGCACAAGATATTACAAAAAATAATGTATTTTGCTTTGTTCTCAAAACTGATGACAATATAGCGACGTTGATTCTTTTAACAACTTTACAATTAATGAATCGAAATATCATTTAATTGCAATAGTTTAATCTTTCAAGTCAAGCAAAAAATCGGAAAAATAGTTATAATGTGGAAAATGTATGTTTTTTTCTTAAAATATTCGTGATTTTGATGTGATAATAGCAATAATTACCTCTAAGAACGTCTTCCGAAATTGATACTAGCTCACTCTTTAACAGACAAGGATTGTCATCATATGAAGTATTTGTACTATGAACAAT